AGAGCGTTTTTATTTCAGGGGTGCCCGGGGGGCTCAGTCGGTTGAGCATCCGACCTCGGCTCAGGTCATGATCTCAGGGTTCGTGGGTTCGAGCCCCGCGGTCAGCGCGGAGCCCGCTTCGGACCCTCTGTCCCCCTCTGTCTCTCTGCCCCACCCCCGCTCGCGCCCTCCTCTCTCCAAGATAAATAAAAACATTTAAAAAGTTTTTTAAAAAGAAAAGTTGTGGGGCGCCTGGGTGGCGCAGTCGGTTAGGCGTCCAACTTCAGCCAGGTCACGATCTCGCGGTCCGTGGGTTCGAGCCCCGCGTCGGGCTCTGGGCTGATGGCTCGGAGCCTGGAGCCTGTTTCCGATTCTGTGTCTCGCTCTCTCTCTCTGCCCCTCCCTGCCCCTCCCCCGTTCATGCTCTGTCTCTCTCTGTCCCAAAAAAAATAAAAAATAAACGTTGAAAAAAAAAAAAAGAAAAGTTGTATTTTGGAATAATTTTACATTTACAGAAAGTTGCAAAGATGTGAGAGTTTCTGTCTACCCTTTCTCATCAGTGATATAATCCACCGCCCCAAGAGGTCCCTGTCCTCGTCCTCAGAACCCGCAGACGTGTCCCCTCATGCGGCAGAGGGGACCTTGTCAAGGCCCCTGAGGCGGGGGTGACCCTGGGTGCCCGGGGGACCCAGCGTCGTCACGAGAGGGAGGCAGAGAGCCGGGCGGACCCCGCGCTGCTGGCCTTGAGGATGAGGAGGGGCCGCAGGCCCAGGATGCGAGGCCTCTGGAAGCCGGAAAAGGGGGGAGAGGGGGCTCCCTGGGGCTCCGGGGGGAACCGGCCCTGCCCACGCCCGGGCACTAGGGCTTCTGGCTCCACAACATGAGGTTGATAAACGTGTGATTCTTTTTAAAGCCACCAAACGTGTGGTAATTTGTTACAGAAACCCTAGGAGACAAGCACTCTTGTCGCAACTCAGACACCGATATTGGAGTGTTGCTATCACCGATTGATGACATCAGTAATTGCCGTGACTACTGACCAAACTCCACCTTTTATTTGGAGTTCTCTATGTGTTGTTGTTGTTTTCTTTTTTGAAACTGATTCCCTTTTTCTGTTCCAGGATCTCGTCCAGGATCCCACATGACAATGAGCTATTTTTCTCGTAATTGGTAAAAAAAAAAACAAACAAAAAAGACCCGGGCAGATAAAATACGGATTACGCCTCTAGAAATCTGGCCAGCTCTGACGCTCAAACAGCACCTCGCTCACAGCCGGAGTCAACCGATGTCCCTGAATAGAGGTCGAGGCCGCATCCAGCTGGAGAGAGGACAGCAGGGAAAGTGTCCCCCTGCAGGGACAGCGCCCCCTGAGGACCCTGAGGGCACGCCCGCCGCAGGCAGGGTCCCGGGCAGTCTGGAGAGGGTCTGCGCTTGCGTGGGGCCACCCGGCAGGTCGGCACCCGTGGGGCACACGGCAGGGTCAGACACAGACCCGTGTCTTCGTGTGACATGTCCAATCTGGTGGGACGGGAACCAGCAGAACTGCAAGGACGTGCATAATTTCAAGTTGTGAAGGACCACAGAGGGAATCACGGGGTGGAGGTGGCCTCCTAGCTGCTAGCAGAGGAGAAGGAGCTGCTGGGAGAAGACTCAGGACTGGGGGGCATCATGAGCACAAAGCACGGCGTATGCAAAGGCCCTGAGGTTGGGATGCGCTTGGTATGGGGTCTTGGGCCAACAGGGAGGCCAGGGGGTTGATGCTCCCTCGTCTTCCTCCCGGGCAGATAGTCCTGAGGAATGTCCTACCCAGTTCCTCAGGGGCCCACAGTGGTTACCAGGGCCCGCCCTGCCCCATCCTCCCCGGCCCCTCACTCCTGCTCTCCGGACCAACCCGCTGCACCAAACCCTTGCTTCAGGCTCCGTGTTTGGCCGAGTCCAGACTGAGATGTGGGAGGAGAGACAAGCCTCCCGCTTCAGTGTCCTGCTGGTCTGGACAATGTCATCGAGAGGGAGTGAGGACAGGGTACAGCGGCCTCAGCTGCAGGCGGCGAGGGGAGGAAGAGAAGCCTCAGAGGACCCCGGAAAAGATTGGGAAGCAAGCAGGGAAAGAAGCCCGCGGACGGGTGTCTGGGAGGACAAGCGAGGACGGCGCTTCTAGAAGGAGCCAGCGATGCACATGAGGCTGGGAGAGGCAAGGACAAAGTCGGGTCCTGGGGTGGGGGGGGCCGAGTCTCGCCTCCCCCACGGTCCGGGCCAGTGCGGCGACAGCGTGCTGCCCGGGTTGGGCCGTCCCCGGGGACTGCGAGGGGGGGGTGCGTGCTCACAGGACAGGCACGGAGCCCGTGGCCTTTCAAAGGCCGGGAAGGGATCCGAGCCTCACGCTCCCCCGCCTCGGGCACCTTGCAGAGCTGACTGTGCCACGTTTCACCCCGTGCCCAGTCCCTTGAGCCTCCCTCGGGCGCCTCACCGCTGGGGGCCGTCTCCGCGGCCCCCCTCCACCCACCGCAGGTGCCCTGTGCGGTGCTGTCCCTGCACTTCTCCGGGGAAATGTGCTGAGTCCGGGGAGTTATCTCAGGTCAGCGAGGGAACAGACGGGAGGGAAAGCAGGCCTGCGGCCGGAGCGCGGTGGCTCCCGGGCGGGGGCGGCCAGGCCAGGTGCCCGCCCGTGACCACCTCAGCCTCCGGCGCCTGGGCAGGGGTCAGCGTGGGGGGGCAGCCACCCCTCTGCAGTCCGCAGTCCTCTGCCTGGCGAGCTGCCTCGTGCGCGCATCTGTAAAACCGGATGTTGGTGAGCCCCTGATGCCGTCCTCGCTCTGTGGGAGCGTGGCGGGGGGGGGGGGGGGGGGGGGGGGGGGGGGGGGGGGGGTCGAACGTGGCGTGGCCTTACCGTCTCAACCACCTTCCAGTGGCAGTGGCATCGAGCGCACTCACACTGTCGCGCAGCCGCCCCCGCCATCCGCCTCCAGAACCTTCCATCTCCCCAGACTGAGACCCTGCCCCCATGAAGCACGACTCCCCGCCCCCTGCCATCCACTCTCTGTCTCTGTGGACGGGACTCCTCTAGGGGGTCACGCGGGACGCGTCCCTCTGTGCCCGGCTCCTGTCACTGCGCAGTGTCCTCGGGTCCGTCCACACGGTGGCAGGCGGCAGGACGTCCTAACTTTCTGAGTCTGGACGAGACTCCGGCGTGTGGATGGACGCGCTGTGTTTATCCGTCCTATGTCAGAGGACGCGTTCATGTGCTTTGTTTTATTGTAATGTCTCTTCGTTTCGAAGGGGCAGGGGAGAGGGTCGCTGCTGAGGGGAGGCGGAGCATGGGAGGTTCCCTCCCCACCGCCCCCCCCCCCCGGGCCCCGTGGTGGACGCTCAGCCAGGAAGACGGGGGTCCGGAGGGCCCAGCCACCTGCCCCCTCAGAGCTCCCAGGGCCACCGGGGCAGGAGCGTAGGGGGATGGCGCAGGGTGCGGACAGGGCTCTGGACACCAGTCATCCTGGCTTGCGTCTGCCCTCCTGAGTCTCAGTTTTCTGACCTGTAATATGGGGCTAAGAAGAGCCTGTACCCAAGGATGGGCTTACA